ACTAACACATGCTGAAAGGACACCAGTGGAAAGAGTGTGGTTAACAGAATGAATTATTATCTACAGGATTCTGTTCCACCCTCTTGTCCCACCCTCATGCTGATCTAGCTCTGTAGGGGCAAGACAATAGTAAGTAATCAATTATTTCATGTTCTTGGGCTTCCTGGGAGACGAGACTCTTGCTTACCAATGTGTCAATGAACAGGGTTCTAAGTAACCCTTCAGGAAGACCTCATTTACCCTTTTGGCAAAATGCATGGTGTAAACCATTGGTGACTCAGAGCTGAAATGTGTGGTTTCAAATCCCCAGGGTTTGAATATTTTAATATTAGGGATGTAAGAAAGACTCCAGGAAAAGCAAAACAGCTTCAAGAGCTCTGACGATATTTCCCTATTGATGCTTTTTATGGTTTCTAGTTTCTATCAAGTCAGAGCTTACATAACATGATTTAAGTTACAGGCAGTCAGCTCAGAAAAGGAGGCAACGGCAATGATTATGGAAATAAACTCAATTTCAAGAACTCTATAGGGAAGCACCTTACTTTTTACTCTCTTAAAGGAATCTCTGCCAAATTACAGGATTTGACAAAAGCCCAGTGCATTTATTTAGTCAGTAATGGCAGCAACCTGGCGACCTATGCCATAATCAGGGAGTTGTCCCAGGAGCCTCCCCTCTTGCTGCCTTCCAAATACTTCCCAGAGCCATTGCTGCCCCTCCATTCTGATGACCACTGTCCCACAGTCCTCTCCATCTCCTCTGAACCAGTGGGGTAAGCTGGTCCACCTGTCTCTCCTCTCCCCTGCCACACGTGCCACCCTCCTCCTCAGAGCCCCCAGGGCTCCTGTACCCACAGGGCCCCCTGCAACCACCATGCCCAACAGCCCCATCACCTGCTCTCCTGAGAAAGCAAAACTTACAAACTTGAGTCACTGGATGGATTCAGGACCAGGACCTTGGTCACCGTGGGCCAACTCAGGGGCTGGTGGGCATACATCAGCTTAGCAACTGCTGGAACTCATGTCTGAAAAGGTGAACTCCAGCAAGAGAGAATCCAGTTGCCACTGTGTGCTGTCATGGCTTTCAGTGGTCACTGCTTTGACACTAGTCACCCCCAGAACCTGGCATTCGAGGAAAAACCAAGCTGGCAGCTTGATGTGATGTGAGCCAGCTGCTAACAGTAAGGGGCAGTGGCAGCACGCCGTTCCAGTTTGAGATGTGATTTCAAGGGCCAAGGGAGGCATGAATCCATATTCATATTGTGATTTTAATTCACCTTTTAGAAAAACTACATTATGCTTAATGCAGTATACTGGCCTTACATGACTAATGTCACATGTCAAATCCAGAGAGTTGACATGCAAATTAATCTAGAGACTCAGAATAAATTCACATCTGCAAACAGAATATTTCCACTCTGAAAATTAGAATTGGAAAATTCAGAGCTAAGTGTAATATTCCATTTACACTTATGTCATAGATTATTAAAAAGAGGTGAGAATAAACCTAAGAAGCCATTCAGTGCCAAATGAAATGACCAGGTCAAGTCAGATGTGCTGATACCCAAATGATCACGAAAATACTGCTTTTTGCATATGCTAAAATAATTTCTTAACTTCTTCTATATGAAAATGTTCTGAATTTACATAATGCCCTTCATGTCAGGAACTCCATCTTTTATAATCTATTAGCTATTAATTCCCTATTAATATTACCTCATTTGAACTCCTGTTCCCAAATTAATCGTAAGAAAAAAAATCTAAGGTCCAGATATTTACATTTTTAGATATTATTCAGCCACCATAGCCCTCAAGGAATCTCAAAATGCTCATGAGAGTGAAAACTGTGAGTTTTCCCTTTAAACTAAACAGTTGAAAAGAACGCAAATTTTCTTTTGAGTAAGTACAAAATAAAACAGAGAGATAGCAACACTGGACTTTGTAAGCATACACTGAAATTTTTTTTTATTAAAGTATCATTGATATACAATCTTATGTTGGTTTCAAATACATAACACAGTGGTTCAACATTTAGCCATATTATCAAGTCCTCACCCGCTCCAGTGCGTTCACTGTCCACCAACATAGTAAGATGTTAGAGAATAATTAACTGCATTTTCCATGCTGCACTACCATCCCTGTGACAAACCTATATTATGATTATGAATTATTGTGCCCTTTAATCCCTTTCCCCCTTCCCTCCACCCTCCCCAACTCCTCCCCTTGGTAACCGCTAGTCCCTTTTCAGTGTCTATGAGTCTACTGCTATTTTGTTCCTTCTGTTTGGCTTTGTTTTCTTACTCCACAAATAAGTGAAATCATTTGGTATTTGTCTTTCTCCACCTGGCTTAGTTCACTGAGCCTAATACCCTCTAGCTCCATCCGTTTTATTGCAATTGGGAAGATTTCTTTTCTTTTTTGACTGAATAATATTCCATTGTGTATATGTACCACATCTTCTTTATTCATTCATCTACTGATGAACACTTAGGTTGCATCCATATTTTGGCTATTGTAAATAGTGCTGCGATAAACATAGGGGTGCATCTGTCTTTTTCAAACTGGGCTCCTGCATTCTTAGGGTAAATTCCTAGGGGTGGAATTCCTGGGTCAAACACTATTTCTATTTTTAGTTTTTTGAGGAACCTCCATATTGCTTTCCACACGGTTGCACCAATTTACATTCCCATCCACAGTGTAGGAAGGCTCTCTTTGCTCCGCATCCTTGCCAGCATGTTATTTCTTGTCTTTTGGATGTTGACCATTCTAACTGGTGTAAGGTGTTATCTCATTGTACTTTTAATATGCATTTCCCTGATGATTAGTGATGTGGAGCATCTTTTCATGTGCCTGTTGGCCATCCAAATTTCTTCCTTGGACAAGTGTCTATTCGGGTCCTCCGCCCATTTTTTAATTGGGTTATTTGTCTTTTGGGTGTTGAGGCATATGAGTTGTTTATATATTTTGGATGTTAACCCCTTGTTGGGTATGTCATTCACAAATATATTCTCCCATACTGTAGGATGCCTTTTTGTCCTTTGCTGTACAGAAGCTTTTCAGTTTGCTGGAGTCCCACTTGTTCATTTCTTATTTCATTTCCCTTGCCCGAGGAGATGTGTCCAGGAAAAAGTTGCTGATAATTACATTCAAGAGATTTTTGCCTATGTTGTCTTCTAAGTTTTATGGTTTCATGTCTTACATTTAGGTCTTTGATCCATTTTGAGTTTACTTTTGTGTGTGAGGTTAGGCAATAATCCAGTTTCATTCTCATAGTTGTCCAGTTTTCCCAACACCAGCTGTTGAAGAGACTGTCTTTTCCCCATTGTATGTCCATGGTTCCTTTATCGTATATTAATTGACCATATATGTTTGGGTTAATATCTGGACTCCCTATTCTGTTCCACTGGTCTGTGGGTCTGTTCTTGTGTCAGTACAAAATTGTTTTGATTATTGTGGCTTTGTAGTAGAGCTTGAAGTCAGGGAGCATAATCCCTCCAACTTTGTTCTTCTTTCCCAGGATTGCTTTGGCTATTTGGGGTCTTTTGGCATACACTGACATTTTAACTCAAGAGAGTCTTTTATTTCAATATATAACAACAAAAGAAATGAATCAAATGTTATCTGTCTTGTGCCAGAGTGAATTACGGATGCATCTGGCTCTCCTGTTATGATCCCAGGAAGGCAGGACTGGAATGGTCACATATGCATTCCTGAGGGCTTAGCACACAGCAGGCTAGTAAGTGCTCACTGATTTGAACCCTGGCTTTAATGCAGTAAGTAAACAATTAGATGTCTTAGCAGAGGTGACTTGGATGGTCTTGTCTATCTTTCCAACCTGATACCATGAAATCTTTCATTCTGGTTATTTTAAGAATAGTAATTAAAAAAAACTTCATATTGCTTTCCAAAACATGTTTTAGTCATATAATTAAAACAGACCCCACTAATCCAGACTGTGTGCTTTGGGTTGAAGTTTATACTCTATGAAAAGAGAACAGAGATGAGATTTTCATTGAAAAATTTACATTTCACTGAAGATCTACTTGTAATTGACAGGGGACTTCCTTTGCCTGCCTGGGATCCATACCTCTTCCTCTGGTAAGAGCCTGAGTTGGTTTTGGAGAGCTACCCTTCCTCACTGGCTACAGTCTTGGTCGTCTATCAAGAAAAGGGCCTGGCGTTCCCTTGGCCAAGAGAAAGGCTCAGGCCCCAGTTATACACGTGTTCAAATACCTCTCCCTGCAATGTGAGTCTGGAACCAATTGGCCCAAGCACTCAAGGGGAGGTGAGGGCAGATTCAGTCAGTTGGTAGCACCAAAAGACTGTTAGCTGCTGCCCAAACCCTCATGGCTGCCTCCAGGTCCTCTTCCACACCGGTTCCCCAGCTAGTCCTCCAGTCAGCAAGCTTACCACCATCCTTCAAACACGTCCCCTCTTCCCTCTGGGTTAGCTAGAGATGGATTCTGTTTACTGCAACCACAGAATCCTGATGAAAGTGCAGGCATTCCCCAAATCCTTCCTGACCAGTAACATTTGCTATGCCAATTCCAGGGCAGCTTCATCCATTCATTAGAGCCCAGAGCAGGACTGTCCATCTGCTCAAATTACTGTGTGAATTCTTACAATAAGGTTGAGCTACTGAAAATGTTTCCTCTAATTCTCACTGGCTTCCTTCCTGTCCCTGTTAGTATAGTTTTATTTGATGATGGAATTATAAATTAAGCAGAAGATTCTACTGTTATCAGAAAAGAGCTTTAAATCTAGATTATATTTTAAGGGAAAGGGTTGAGAAGCAGACAAACTAGTAACTCAAAGTGAAATGAGGGGGTAACTTAACATTTTCACAGTTCTATTTTATCCTCATATTTTAAAATAAAGAAGTAAAAGTCAGGCCAAGGTGGAGAACAAACCATACAAGAGGACATACATGAAAGGACTGAACTGTGAAATGCAGTCCAAAAGAAAGCCACAAGCCCTATCCTCGCCTTGGCTTGCCAACTTACCTTTGCCAGGGGCAAGTGCTTTCTGAAAGGCCTCCTTCAGAGAGCTGTGCCCATGTAGGAGTCTGTGGCTGGGGCAGATGGCAACGTGGGAAGTGCCGTAAATGGCCTCAGGGGTGGCTGTGTAGGCAGTTAGCTTCTCCCCTGTGACTTGCCCATCAACCTGGTAGGGGAAACACAGCCGTTTCAGTTCTTCCATTTGGGCTGTTATGCTCCTCAGCATAACACTTTCTCCCTCCCCAGCTCAGTCCCAAACAGTGGGGACAGCATCTGACCAGCACCACGGAGATGAGGGAGAGCAGAGAAGGGCAGGAGAGAAGAGGGTAGCTTTCCTTTCTCAAGCCCTCCCTAGTGCTCACCACCAGGCATACATGTGGCCCCAAATCATTTTCCTGGTTCCTTTGTTCACAAATGGAAAAAAATTGTTACATTGTTTCTGTTCTGAGAAAGGAGGTATACTTTTCTGCAGGTAAAGTCACCAAGGCTAACACCATTTTGGAGAGGAAAGAAAGGGCAGCCTGAGTGGAGCTCCCCTCTGAGCATTCCTAGGGCTGGTTAAACGCCTTCTGAGGAAGAAACACCCGTTCAGCATCGAATGAATGCCAACTCAGTGATGGACACAGAGAACAGAGAAAAGAGATGCTCCCTCCTTCACACATTCATTCAAACGCGTTCAGAGTGTGAGTGAGGTACTAGGAGCCTGGGGCCTGGAGCCGACATCCACACTATGGCTCAAATGCCAGGGAGGTGTCACCTATAGAGCCAGGCTGGGGACCACAGAAGCACAGCCACACAGCTTTGCATCTGCAGGCCGGACAGTGCTCCCTCCTTTGAAATATCTCACTTTCAGGTGGGTTCAGGAATGGAGATGGAGACACTTTCAAAATAAAATCCTGGGCAAGGGAGAGAATGTAGAAGACGTCCATGTGCAGCCGCTGAGTGGCTCGTAGACCCACTTCTTTCACCCTGGCTGAGAACAGAGGCCTTTGACATGAAGACCAAACCCAGCTGAATGTGCAGGACCCCAGAGGAGTGGGCCCCGAGAGTCTGAACAAAAGACACGGCTAGTCGGAATTTCAGAAATCTCGCCACCTTCCCAGAAAAGCACCAAGAGGAAAGGCTCGTTTTAGCATTTGATTTTCTAAGGTTTCCCAAGCACACACTCCCTCATGGGGACTTCTCCCGCTGTCTGCAGCTGGAGTGACCGGGGTCCCTTTCTGAGGAAATGGCCCAGGGAATGCATGTGAGCTCAGTGACGAATGGCAGGCGCTCAGGAGACACCGGCGTGGTTGTTGGGAGGAGGGAGCCTAGAGGGCAGGCTGGCGGCTGCTCCTTCCTCTGGAAGGCTTGACTGGGACCAAGGGGATGGCAGGGTTTGAGCTCAATGAATGACACCAAGGCCTTGCTTTGAGAAGGAGAAATCAGAAGGATAAATAAAATAAAACATAAAACCACACACACCCGGTAAGAAATAGCAACAGAACAACTTTCTAGTCTGTAGAGACGAGAAAGGCCAAGGGGCCCCTTCCAGCACAGGTGGGCCGTCATCAGGGCACTCTCAGCAGCGTTCCCGCAGGTCAGCTCTTCTGAGCCCTGGGTTGGCACACAGCCCTGAACAGCTTCAAGCCTGTCTAGGCTTAAATGGTGCTACCCTTAGCCTCAGCTCCCTTAGGTTTTAACTTGTTTTGTGACAGAACCCCTTTGAAATTACAATGAGAACTGTGGACCCACTGCTCTGAAAAATGTCCACAAGAACATTCTACACATAATTTCAGGGAGTTCATGGATCCCCAGAAGACCCTCCATACCTGCGCTGTCCAATACGATAGCCAATGACTGCAGAGCAATTGAAATGTGGCTGGGATGTGCTATAAGTAGAAGACACAGCAGATTTTGAAGACTTTGTACTAAAACAAGAGTGTACACTATTTCCTTAATACATTTTTTAATTTCTGTATCATATCATGAAATAATAATTTTTTGGAAATAATAGCTTGAATAAAATGTTATTGGGATTAATTCTACCTGTTGCACTGTTTGCACTTTAAAAGATGTGGCCACTAGAAAATTTGGAATTCCATATGTGTCTTGCAGTGTATTTCTACTGGACAGCACTGCTGTACAGTCTCAAGCTGCTGGTCTCTTCAGTGAGTTCTAAAAATGCACAAGGGGTGCTGTGTGTATTGACTGCTGGAGATGTTACTGCTCAATCACCTTTAATGTGAAGTCCAGATGGCAGCCCACACAGTCCCCGATCCAGTGGGCCTGCATGCCTTTTATTCCATACCATTCTGGAAGGTCTGCCAGCGCATCCTGCATGGCCTATAGGAATGAAAGAAAGAGACGTAAATGCACAAAGTTTATTTAAGAGAAAGCAAATGATTTGGGGCTTGCTAAGGTAGGAAGAGTGGGGACACTAAAGGAGGCTCAGGATTTAGCCATCTTCTCATTCACCTGCCAATCAGAGGAGCCAAGCAAGGGTTAGACACAGATGCACTCACCATGACTCACCTTAGTGAGATGGGTCTGACTGAGTTCTCTACTGTGAGTGGGCCAAGGTTTCACGAAAGGAAGAAAATGAACAAGGAAAGAGCATAATTAATATCTGTGATGAGCATGGGCAGTACATTCTCTCTCACAGTCTTGGAACTAAGCAAAAGAAGTTCGAGTTTATGAATTTTGAAATTCTAAGACAAGCAATTCATGGATATGGGTGTTTTACAACTCAACCACAGTATATACAGAACATTATAATTACATCTCTGCATAAAAAATCAGCATGAGTGAAACAATCACGTTGATTTGTGTAAACATTTGCTATCAGAGGTACACATGTATTTTCATTGTTGTCTGCTTTTAATCCTAAATTCCTATAAAGGGAGGCTTTCCTATACATTATTTTCCATGGTCTCAAGTACATGCTAACCCCTATCATTTGGTGATGGGACACATTCCTTCAAATGATGGATTAAAATTAAATCATACGTGGATTTTCTCAAGATGGCAGCGTGTGTATTTTGGAAAATACAGCAAATACAACTGTTCCTAAAAGAGAGGCCAGAAGATACAGTACAACATCCAGGCTACACCTACATCTGCGAGAACTCAGCATCTCATGAAAAGGGTAAAATACAAAGCTGTGACTTGGTGGGACCCGAGCAAAACCCCCAATCCAGCTCACCGGTGGGAGGAAAGGAGTCAGAGTGGGGAGGGAATGGAAGCACAGGACTGCTAAATGACCAGCCCTAGTAATCTGCACTGGGAGCACAGACACACATTGCATGGTGTACTGGATATTAGAGAAACGCAAAAGTAAAATCCGAGAATGAGAGTGAGAACAGGTCCCCACAGCCAGATGCCCTGGGACAAAAGAAAAGTGGGTGCTTTAAAAGTCTTAAAGGGACAAGGGTTTAACAGACGGACAAAATCATTCTGGCACACTCAGCCCAGCAGGCTGGGAATTTTAAGGAACTTCAGGCGCCCTAATTTCCTGGGTGGCATTGCAGCTCCAAAGCTCCTCACAGCGATAAGCAGCCTACTGTTCATTCCCCCCTTGCTGGCACTGCAAGCAAACTGGCTGACCCACCATTGCTGCAGACAAGCTGAGGAGTAGCCCAGCTCACAGCAACCACAGAGGATCTTCTTTCATTGGGCAGCCGCCCGGCACAGGCAGAGGAAGTCGGTGCAAACTCCAGAAGGCGCAAAAGGGTGTTGTTCTCATAGGAGAACACACGCCGTGCAACTGTGACCCCCCGTAATGCCCTAGGCTACCCTGAGGGCCCCACCACTCACGGCAGCTCAAGGAATTAACCCAGAGACTGTTCCCTGTGTGTGGTTAACCAGCATAGGCAGCGGAGAAGAGCAGGCAACCAGCAAGCAGGAAGGGACTTTGTTCTCCTGGATGACACACGCACCACTCAACAGTGATCACTTCTATTGCCATGAAAAGGCAGAAGAATCTGGTCCAGTCAAAAATCACTCAAACGCTAGACAGAGGGCATGGTGAGACTGATATAACCAACCTTCCTGAACATGAATTCAAAACAAAGTCATAACCATGCTTATGGACCTGCAGAGAAATATGCAAGAGCTAAGGGATGAATTATGGAGGGAGACAACAGAAATGAAACAAACAATGGAAGGTTGAAGAACAGACTGGATGAGGTGCAAGAGACTGTTAATAGAATAGAAATGAGAGAACAGGAATACAGAGAAGCTGAGGCAGAGAGAGATAAAAGGATCTCTAGGAATGAAAGAATATTAAGAGAACTGTGTGACCAATTCAAACAGAACATTATCCGTATTCTAGGGGTACCAGAAGAAGAAGAGAGAGAAAAAGGGATAGAAAGTGTCTTTGAAGAAATAATTGCTGAAAACTTCCCCAAGCTGGGAAGGAAATAGTCTCTCAGACCATGGAAGCCCACAGATCTCCCAACACAAGGGACCTAAGGAGGATAACACCAAGACATATAATAATTAAAATAGCAAAGATCAAACAGAAGGACAGGGTATTAAAGGCAGCCAGAGAGAGAAAAAAGATCACCTACAAAGGAAAACCCATCAGGCTATCATCAGACTTCTCAACAGAAACTTTACAGGCCAGAAGAGAATGGCATGATATATTTAATGCAATGAAACATAAGGGCCTTGAACCAAGAATACTGTATCCAGCATGATTATCATTTAAATTTGAAGGACGGATTAAACAATTCCCAGATAAGCAAAAGTTGAGGGAATTTACCTCCTACAAACCACATCTACAGTGTATTTTAAAGGGACTGCT